ACAAAATGATCATATAAATTTTCTTCCGCAACATTTTTCTCAAAAAAATTGATAACTTCTCGAATGGGGATATAGAAATCAACTGAATGCGAGAACATTATTTTAAATTAATTTTTATCCGGAACATGGACTTTTAGAAATGGGCACGCTCCTTTACACAAGAGATTAATTATCATTCATTATCAATCTAAACTTTTTGGCCGTAGTCCATTCCGTCATTTTATTTATTGAATCATTGACCTTACTTTGTTCCATAATTTTCCGCATCGTAACTTTGTTGAAAAAGATACCATCGTTTTATCTACGCACTTGCTATGCTATGATGAGATTTAAATATATTTAATGTTAGACAATTTCTAATGTCATACTCAAGAGGTGCATTATTAAAAAACCATCAAAAGTAAATTTGTAGCCTGAGTAGTGAGTACACACAAAATTCAATTCGTCATGCGTATCGACATGGATTAATAAAGTCATTCAATATATCGTCAGAACAATCTGTTGTTTCGATTATCTTGCCTACTTCTATTTGCATTCAAAATGACAATAGTTCACTCATTTTCTGTTCTTACCTATAAAAGTATTTTTCAAATTTTATATTGCTTCAGTGGAATTGTACGAAAAATAAACATTTACATCTATCTGTTTGGTATCATTTGTTCATAACAAAAAAGTCCATACAGAGGTATTCATATTGTTTTGAAATTTTTTAAAAAAAAATATTCATACAAAAATTGTATTTGAAAAGCATAAATTAAAACAACAATAAAAAAACTGAAGAAAGCAAAATAAAAAAAAGAGCGCCCGAAGGGGGACTTGAACCCACGACCCTTGGATTAAAAGTCCAATGCTCTACCGACTGAGCTATCCGGGCTACATGTGTTTAAAGGACGAATTCACTGTTCAATCTGCCTTGAGTACATCATGGTCGTAAGCAAGCGCATATAAATGCTCAGTGTGTGACGGAAACACTTTTTGATCGCACTATACAAACTTTTCCATTTGCAGAACAAATAGATAGTATCTTTCTAGTAAATACTGCTTTATTCACTCATTTAGTTCAATTACAATTGTGGAAAGTGAAAATTATACTGCGTATACTGTATCATTTGTTTATACAATGAATGTTTTCCAGAATCACCGTCGAAATGATTAACTATACCACACTAAACATAAAGACCATTAGGACAGCTCTTATTTCATTACATAGAACACTATGATCTTTTTTCTTTATAAAGATTTCTTGTTGTAATTTATTAACATCATTTTATTTACAATGAAATTTGAGTTATTTTCTCGCCACAAACATTCAAAAGTACGAATAATAAAAACGATTTAAAAATGAACACAACAAAATTGGAAGTAAAATAAAAGAATTAAAATCAAAAAAATTATTAATTTTTCTTGATATGAAAAAGTGAAAATAAAAAACACTGTAAAATAAGAACGAAATAAAAGAATAAAAAAAGGAGCGCCCGAAGGGGGACTTGAACCCACGACCCTTGGATTAAAAGTCCAATGCTCTACCGACTGAGCTATCCGGGCTACGTGTATTTAAAGAACTAATTCACTGTTCAATCATTCGTTTCGTACTTTGAGTACAATATCATGGTCATAAACAGGCACATGTTCTGTTGTACATGTGATTCATAGCACGTACTGCATATTCTATACTCACGCTCTTACAATGGAATAATGTACAATGTTTAGGTTTATTTATTTTGATTATAAAATTAATGCGATTTCATCATTCGAATAACTGATTTCATCATTTCTTAACCTAAATATTTGCAATACAAAATGAAAACATGTGAAAAAGCTGGAATTTTTCAGAAATTCAATTTTTTTGCATTTTCTTTTTCAAATTCCAAATTTGCATAAAAAGTAATAGACAACATTCACTAAACCATTTTTTTTACTTACCACAAAAAAATGCGACCTATGCATGAATTTAAAGACAATGGATTGCATTATTCTATTCACATTTATTAACTTCTTTCCATGTTTTATTCTCTGTTTTTTCTTTAATTCTACTAAAACAATAATAATTCTTAAAAAGTTCATCTGTGTTACACTCCAAAATGTGGCTGTAAATAAATGAAATGCATTTTATCGTTCAAAGTTAAAATGGTAGAGATTTGACATGTTATAAATACAAAAATAGTTGATTGATAAATTAAGAGAAAAAAACGATGTAGAATAAAAAAATGAAGACCACTGTTCGATTATTATATATAGAATGATGATATTATTGGATAATTCAATGTGGATGGGATTAATAATAAAACTATGAGCTTCATTAAGTTGGGTCGAAATATTGGTTTAAATATGTTTTATAAAACGAAAATGTGAAACACAATCCCGAACTTGCGGTACAAAAGATACTCTCTCTTAAATTCTAAACTCTTAATTCGTTCTTTTTTTGTTTGTTTGTTTTGTTTTATTATTTTTTTATCAGATTAGCCTTGCATCAAATACGGATCAATTTTTTTCTAATTTCTGATGTTCATTTTCAACAATTTTTCATTTATTCATTTAAGCAACGTAACTATATTCATCGCTTCCAGTTGATGTTCGCTCAATATATTGTTTGTCAATTAACGATTCAATACATTTTTTAATCATTGAGATGGTCGGCGCAAATGTAACCTTTGATTGGGACAGAATCTATTGAATGAAATGAAAAAGAGAATTCCGCATTAAAATAGGAGGAAGAGAGAGGGACAAATGATCTTATTTACCTCTTGAATAAGAGCATTGTGTTTGAGTATTTTGCGTGATTTCATAATCCTCACAATAGCTGCTTGTAGATACAATTTGCGATCTTCATCGACGGCACTCATAGTGTGTTCAACTTCTTGCGGTGTTTCGCGTTGCAATGCGGCGGTTATTTTGAATTTTGTGCGCTTATTCGAATAGTCCAAATTAAGTTTGATTTCTGTGCTATCCTCAAGTTGTTCAGAGCTTGCTAACAATAATTTCGATTCGATTAAACTTTGCATATGCTTTTGAAATGTGTCGGCATTCAATTCAAGCGTTTCCTATAGTACACAACAACAGCAAAAATGTTTAAAAAAAAGTGCTCAAAATTGTTGACGGCATTTGTTCGTTTTTACCTGTATTTCTTTGCATGTCATGACATCAACATTTTCAAACAACAACAAAATGGCCATTTGATACGTTTGCATTGTAATGATGTAGGGCTTTTTTAAATAAGACAATTTTAATTCACCCTGGCACAAATAGTGTAACCACGTTAATTTACGTCCATTGAAATTTTCATGGTAAAATGTTTCAAACATGCGAATCGATTTCTCAAATTCTTGTGGTATAGCAAATGGTATTGTCACTTGTGTCGGTCCAAGTGGCCATGCACCGGCTTGAAGCACTTTTATTGATAAATTTATTCCTATTTTGAAATAAACGAGAGATTAGCGAGACACCAAAACCATGCATCATGTTAAAATCACTTGCCTAATTCTGTATTTTTGTCTTTCAAATGTGAATTGAATTTGTTGTTCAAGTCTGTTGATACCGAAATGTCTGTAAACATTCTGTGCAATTTATTGGTGAATTCATAGCCGCATGCTTGCTGAGAATGATGAGAAAAAAATACAATGATGAGTTCATTTTCGGGGAAAAAAGCTGTTATGGCACAGAATTATTACCTTTAATCGATTGATCATGGCTTCTTCAGTGTCCATGCTTTGGGATTGTTCGTGAATTAACCGTTTGGCCAGCATTCGACTGTAAAACTTCTGATAAACATCCTTATCTTCGATGTATTTGAAAATGGTGATGCTACTGGTAAGTTTTGAATCAATTTCACTTTCGGTTGTTTTTGATTTTTTCAATAGGCTATCACAGTATTTGGCCACCAATTCGGCACTACGACATTGTTGTTTGTCATTGATGCGTTTATTGATGACACTGGCACAGGCACGATCTAATGCACTCAAAAATAGCGGATCATTTTTAAATAGTTCCGAAATCATTTGCTCGTACTTGTGATGCACTTTGAGCATATTCTCAACAAATTGAATGTGAATCTGTAAAATTGAAAATTGGCCATAAACAAATCTTGATGACTCATTTTAAAATGGTTCACAAACCGTATCGCCTTTAAGCGTAGAAATTGTTTCTATGCCTTCGTTTTTGATGTGATCCAAAAATGCTTGAATCAATATTTTTAGACCGTCCGGAATTGGTTTCAGCAAAGTATACATATTATGCAAATCGGCACGTTTCTCTTGTGTCACCATTTCCTTGCAGTCTGAGTGTAAAAATTCCAGATGATCGGTTATCATTCGCGTTTCACATTCTAATCGAAGTTTCGGTATTGTGCTATCAATGACAATGAAAATGAAACGAAATGAAAATTAGTGATGTTTACATTTATTCGCATTGACATTGTATTCACCTTCCATGAAAGAATTTATGAGCTCGACGATTTTCGTCGTCCAATCGTTTAAGTACCTCTTCCATATATTCACTAACCGTGCAGCGTTGCAATAATTTGGCCGCTTCGCTTTTGTAATATTCACCGCTGGCGGCCAACATTGGTGCTTCAAATAGTTCTTGGTACAAATTCAAATTTCCTTTCTTTTTATAATTTTGTACTTGAACAAAGCTTTGAATGATCCCATAAATTACTTGTGCACTATTCAAACCTAAATCGCTGCCAGTTCGATCCGCATAGATGGCTTCCAGAATTTGCTTCACAATTTCTTCGCCTAATTTTTTAATCATGCGACCTTGCCATATGTCCAAACCTAATTCACCGATTTCCATGAGCTCTTGATTTTCATTGCTCACTTGACCATAATTGAATTCCACTTCGACTGTATGTTTGTTGCGTTTTATGTGTTGCTGATTCAAATACATGTACAAATAATTAAGATATTCCACACCCTGACTGTATTCAATCCATGCGGAATAGTAACGCTGAAGCAACGTATCATTGATCATATTGAAATCGTTGGCGCCGTCATTTTCTGGCGGTGCCACTTTTGCATCCAGTAAATTATTCACATGTGATTCAAGAAACTGTTTTGTTTCATTGTACAAACGATCGGCAAGCGGTTCCGGAAATGCAACACACAATGAGTACACATCACTAAAAAAATATTTTTTTGTGAAAATTTAGTTTTTTTTTTTTTTTGAAAAAATAAAACACATACAGAAAACGATCATTCCAAGTCATTTTGTTGACATTTCCCATTGTGATGACATCTTTTACGGTTTGCTTTAAATCCAACCATTTCTCCTCGAAATTTACGCGTTTTGGTTTTAACGACATCTCCCGCTATCGCTTTCGTCCAAACACTCTTCAAAATCAGTAACAAAAAGTGTAGTATCAAAAATCGTTGATTCCTAAGCAAAAGCCTCTATTAATTGACGTGAATGTTCTTAATTGTAATATCTGAAAAACAAGATTGCGTTCGGTTTAATGAAAAATAAAGACGAAAATTGTTGTGGTTGTTGTTGAAATGACAAGCAAAAAAAGGTGTGTATGTATGTGTGTGTGTTTTATCACAAGCGCCCACAGAATTGTTCGTTGGCTGTGGTCTTTTTTCGATGGTATCAAAGCATTTTCTATTTATAGATTCAATATTTTTCAACATTTCATCGTATACGATCATATAAAAAAAAAAACAATCGCAATTATGTCGAATAGACTTCTTCAAAATGCAATACATATCATTAGATTGAAATTTATTTACAGCGTAGATTCGCTTTCATGCAATCAGTGATCATCTTGAAATAGACGTAAATAGAAACAAAAAAATACATTCAATTGTGTTTAGTTGATTTCAATGTCGACCTGTCCAGTTATGGGAAAAACTGTGTTTTATTTGGATTTATTTCATTCAACAAAACGATTAATCATTGAGCAAATACACATTTGCACTTTTCTCTCTCTCTCTCTCTCTCTGTGCTCTCACGTTTGAATTCGTGATTTGAGTTGCATCCGCAAAGTGAATGACTTTCATATTTTTCATTCGTTGTTAAACCAGGTCGAATTTCGACAATTATTCACATACAATTTCATTTACGACCATAAAAAAGCAAAGAAATTATATAAAAAATACGAAAATCTCATATGTATATACACACATACACACTCATGCATGCACATCAGTCGTAAATGAAATGAGAAATTGGTTGAACGATTGCTTCGCCACAAAACAAAACATCGAATATTTTAAACTTTTTGTCGATTTAATGCCACCTTTTCCAACTACGTTAATTCAACAAATGTGAACTTGAAATTTACCATTCGCAATATTAGTACACTGTCGTTGATTACATATAAAAATATGCAATTCTTTTAACAAACGATCTGAAAAAAACTTTTTTTTTTTGTGATTGTTCTTCACTAAAAACACACACGAAATGTCACTGTCACCAGCATACATAGAAATCCAATCCATATATCAATGAGAATGATTTACACACTTAAACACATGAATTCCGTTTGGAATCAGGCTTTATGCTTAAGTACTACTGCCATCGATACTTAAGAAAATGGTGATGTTCAATTTTTTCGCCTAATTCAAACTTTATATGATTTTCTTTTCTTATCAAATTGAACGAAAATTTCCGTTGGAAAATAATATTATTTATTATTGCGGATGATTTTCAACTGTTTTTCCGCCAAAGCTGAATTCTTCTCTTTGCACACTTAATGAAAACTGATACCGACACGTTTGAATTGTGAACATAAACGATTGACAGACGAAAATGAAACAGGGAAAAGGTCTTTTCTGCTATTGCGTGAAGAAATGTCATTCTTTGTCAAAATTTCCATGCATGTAATCCATATAAAACAATACATAGACAATTACAAATTCAATCATATGTGAATTATGCTGTGTCTTTCACTCAGACCACTCAAAAATAGAAAGACTGAAAACATCGAAAAAGACAGACGAAGGCTTAGTAGCTCGCACACAATTAACACACGAAGACAACGACGACCATTCTTACTTAATTCTCTTTGTATAACTGCTGCTTTAGGGGCTAAAACAAATAAAAGAAAAAAGAAAGAAAAAAAAACGCGAACGTACTGCGAGAAGCTGGAACGTAAAAATATGTTCACGCCATTGCGATAAAAACTAGTTGAAGCACCAGTTATTTGGGTTAAAATGTTATCGCTGTTGCCAAAAGTTGAGTCAACATTTAAATTCGAGACTTATTTTCACAAGTGAGGCTTTTTGATTTGATTCTTTTGAAACAAAAACCATCGATTACAACAAAAAATATGGCAGGAATTTATGGGCTTTCACGCGAAGCTGTTCGTGTTAAAGTAAAAGTAAGTTTTGTGTCAAAATTAACAACATTCATTTACAGCTGAATGAATAATTAAATGTACCGTTTTTCGAGACAAAATAATCAGTTTTTTATGTGCGCATATCGATTTTATACATGTGTGTTACATTTTTCGCTTTAAACAAAAAAAAAAAAACTGAAGTGTGTGAACATCTTTTTGAATCCGTAGAAATGTGAAGGCAGTCTACCGTGCGAATGGCGAAAATTTAGTGTTGATCCACAAATTACATCGTTGGAAGTACTGTATAGCATTTTGGCAAAAGCGTTTGACCTAAAATCCGACTTTAGCATAAGTTATAAAACGGTCGATCCAAATGGCCAAGAGGTTTATCTTGGCGTTTTATCCGATTGGGACCTTGATGCAGCATTTCTCAGGTATGACCATTTTATTTTTGAAAAAAAAAAAAAAAAAAAAAAAATTTGAAAATTCACATCTTTCAGGGCTCACAATCATTCCATATCGCATGGTACGGATCCGTGTCTTAGCCTAACGGTTGATATTAAACCATTTTCCGAAACATCTGATTGGGATACAACAAATACAACGACAAAAGAGGTAACACCATTACAACAATCAATTGGAGTTGGACAAAAATACGTGCAAAATGTTCAAAGTCGTTTGCCTGGCCTGATTATGAATCATATGGAAAAAACATTCTCAATGGTAACGCGTGCGTTAAATTTCGTTGAGGATCAAAGTATTTTACAGCCATTAAGACAGCCATTGTCGGACGCTGAATTTCGTTCGTTTCTCGATTCGGTTGGACAAATTGTACAAGCGAAAAATCTCCGCAAAGTCATTTATAATGGTGGTATCGATCCGAGTTTACGTCGTGTCGTATGGAAACACATATTGAATGTGTATCCGGAGGGTATGTAATATCGTAAAGAAAACAACTGTTTTGTTCGGCTACTAAATATATATACTGATTCGTTATTTGACAGGTATGACTGGACGACAACGTATGGATTATATGAAACAAAAGGCAGCTGAATATTATCGTTTGCGTGATGTATGGCGGGTAGCCATTCAACAAGGGCCTGTTGCGGGTGAATTAGCGTATGTTACAAGTATGGTACGGAAAGATGTACTTCGAACTGATAGACTGCATCCATTTTACGCTGGAAACGATGATAATCAAAATATCGCATCACTTTTCAATATTCTCACCACATATGCACTCAACCATCCGGCCGTTAGCTATTGCCAAGGAATGAGTGACATTGCCTCACCTCTTTTGGGTTTGTATTTACAATCTTTCTTTTTTTCCGGTTTGATCTGTTTATTATTTCATTTTTTGTGTTTTCAACAATAACAAGTCTCAATGAAAAGAAGAAAAAAATCCTTATCACAATTCCAAAAATACCGAGCCTCATGAAAAATGGATTATCAATTTTATTGACTCAAACTTCGACTTTTCGACTATCTAATCAATTTGTATTCTCTTTTGACTTTCTCTACTCACAGTTACAATGTGTGACGAAGCACAGGCGTATATTTGTTTCTGTGCAATTATGAAGCGTTTGAGCACTAATTTCATGCTTGATGGAATTGCAATGACACAGAAATTTACCCATCTGTCCGAAGCGCTACAGTTTTACGATCCCGAATTTTTCGATTACCTAAAATTGCAACAGGCGGACGATCTATTATTTTGTTATCGATGGCTGTTATTAGAAATGAAACGCGAATTTGCGTTTGATGATTCGCTGCGAATGTTGGAGGTACTCTGGAGCAGTTTGCCGTCACAGCCACCAATTGGCGAACTAAATTTATTCGAAAAAGAATTCGTACCGCCGACCAAAGATGCTCAATCATCGCCAAAAAGTACATCGTCCGATGTTATAATGCGAAAACCACGTGAAACTGCATACACAAAACTGTGTGCATTACGGCGTCAAAGTTCATCACAATCACTTTTGCTCACATCACCAAATACAATCAATTCCAGCGATTCGACATCGTTTGGACGCAGTTTAGACGGTACAAAGCGTTTCAATCAAAGTTTAGATGAAAATATAACACGAACACCAGTGGGTAACAGTCGAAATATTTCGAAAAGTTATCAAAGTTTAGACGAATCAAAACTTCGGCAAATGACACAACATCATAATCAAAAAGCAACCATACAACTAACCGAAATCAATGATAAGTCACAAGTTAACAATTTTGAAGTGAAAAATAATGAGAAAAATCAACAACAATCCGATGCATCACTCAATAACAATGATGAGGTTGGGGAGGAACATTTGGTGACCAAATCACAAACAACGCACATAAAACCAGATGAACAATCGACAACGACCAACAATAATCACATAATGCCAACGTCGGAAGATTCGAATTCAACCGCGTCAAGTCATTTTAAAGGGCTAAAAGATCGAATTGCGGCCAGTAAAAAGGAAATATTTGCATCGTTCGATAAAATTGAAAAGTATCCATTTGAAGATTTAGTGAAATCGAATTCAGTCGAATCAGAGAATCAATCGGGTGAAACAACACCAAAAGGTGGCAAAATTGTGAAAAATTTTAATGAATTTCTGAATTTTGCGTCAAAAGGTGCTAAATTAACATTGATTCGATCGGCAAGTGTTAGTTCAAGTGAATCACGCAGTAGTAAACGGGCATCACTTCGCATGACACGATCATCACATCAAAATTTAAATTCGGAAAAAATTCTGGACACAGACAAAATGGATGATTCAAGTCCGAAGGAGAATGAACCAAATGTTATGAATCGCATTAATAAAAAGAAACTGCAATTACAATTGGAAGAGAAGAAGCAATCTAGTTTTGACGGCAGCAGTCCAGATGATTCGGAATATTTTCCAATGACCACTTCCATAACACGTGAGTTCTTTTTTCTTGTTCTCGCATGCGAAAAAAATTTACAAATCCTTCTCTTTCGATTATTTCAGGTGAATGTTATCTTGAATTGGACAATTTGAATCGGCAAGTGTTTGGCAACAATTTTTCGCAATCAAAAGTGAATACAAATGGTTTTGATATGGCCGATTCCAAAGATTCGCTTGATTCACACATAAGCAATAACCGTTCATCGGCCAATTTTTCCACAAAAATATCATACAAAAAATTCAATGAAAGTTCCGAAGACGATGTGCAATTAGATCAAATTTATAGTATATCAAGTGATAAAAATCCGACTGAAGAAATTGGTAGAAGTGGTGCTGGCGGTTTCAATGCCGAAGTATTTGTTTGGGAAAATCCATTGCATGTATCGCCAACGGTCCAAGAGCCAAGCACATCAAAATCTCATTCCAATGTCGACACCAAAAATCCATTCTACGAAAAAGACTTCCTGCAAACATTAACCCCCGACGAACAGATTGAACTCGAATACGATGGTGAGTTGATTGATGAAGTAACGGGCAAAAAATCAATAACACCAATTCGATTGGTTCGGAAAAAAGACGATGATCGCTGTTCTTCGAAACGAAATTCAAAAGTCTTGCGAAATGATTCGGAAACGGACAGTGAGAATAGTGAAAAAGTGTTGAACGACTTGATGAAAACATCAATGCTCAGTGAAACAAATCCATTTTTAATGGATATAACGGCATCGGCAGCTTCAATTGACAATACAACGCCAACCAATAATCAAGATGTTTTCATTGATGAGGAAGCGTCAGAAGCGGAAACCGAACCGAATATCGTTTTATTGGATAAAGTAACCACAACCACCACATTACCACCGCCAAATGAATTCGGTGGCGGTAATCCATTTTTAATGTTCTTATGCTTGTCATTATTGCTTCAGCATCGAAATTTTGTAATGAAAAACAATATGGATTACAATGAGATGGCTATGCATTTTGATAAAATGGTGCGTAAACATAATGTCGTTCGGGTATTAAATCAATCGCGGCGCATGTACGCTGACTACCTTAAATCTCAAAACATTCAACGCAAGTATTCGGCAACCAATGCAAGCGCCAGTGGCACAGCCAACAAAACAAACACAAATCGTGTCGGTACAAAACAGTGATAAAAAAATATATACTATAATAAAACCGAATAGCATCTATTCGAACCACCAGCTAAGCAAATACTATATAGAATTTTTTTTTTCAAAGAAAGCGGATATTTTAGCGATTTAAGTCAAATTTAAATGATATATTTATCAAACAAAAACAATTAGCTCGTACTCATTCCAATTTACTCTATGATTTTGTTCCTCATTGTGTTAGATGATCATAATTGTGTATAAATGATTATAAAAAAGAAAATCAATCAGAGATTGTTTTTGATTTTTGCTTAAGATTTGGAAAAAAAAGTAGAAAAATTTAAATTTTTGAGGCATTGTATCGTTTCCAACACAAAATTCATGTAAAATCATATAAAAAAATTGTAATTATAATTTATTTCAAATATTATCTTCAAATCAGCACATTTTGGCACCGAAAGTTTGGTAACAATTTGCAAACAAAAAATAAGGCATATTACTACTTAAAAAAACGAATCAATCAAAAATATCCAAAGCACAAACTTTTTGGTCTCTTTCTTAAAAAAATGAAAAAAAAAAATATCATAAATAAAATTTCAATTATTATCTACAAAAAAAAAAAAAAAACGAATTCAAATCATATTGCTTTCAGGAAAAAAGGGGTTAGATGAAAGAAAAATGAAAAAACGTTCAACAAATGACAGTTGTGTTAGTGTATACAATACAGAGAATTCAAAACGGAGAATCGTAAAACTGTAGTACGAGAGCTATAAGAGTCACGTTTGACAACACTTATTCCTCTCTCACACACACAAACACACCGCTCTGGTTCTTCCTTCATATTTTTTTTTTAATTTGACAACACTCTTTTGACTATACATATGCTCTGTCACATCGTCGTTCATCTTTTCGCGCGTATGTGTATAGAATTATAAGTATTGTACTAGTAGCTCCAGCTACGTTGAGTTGATATTCTTCGTCTCAGTGCGAAGCGTGTGTGGTGTCTCTCATTTCTTCTTTCATTTTTTTTGTTTCGTTTCATTGCCTCGTTTGGCACATTAAATTCTCGGCATTCAATAAAATACAATAAATTTGCAGTGTGTAAAATAGTTGGGTGAAATATTTCGTGTGTGCGCCATCAGCAAAAAAGAAAACCATTCTTAATGAGTAAATAAATACAATACTATACAATATATATATATATCCATATATTTCCACATTTTCGTCATTTTGCGAGTTCTAAAAAAACATTATGTATTATAAATCGTCCCCGTGTCATTTCATCTAGTGTCCCGTAGGATAAAAAAAAGACAACCAATTGAAATATCATACGAAAATTAAGTTCAGCTTGTGTCAAAAAATATATTGAATGAAAAAAAAGAGAATATAAACAAAAAAATGGCTGAGCATCGATAATGACAATGTAGTGAAAGAGACATACACAACATCAATATACAACATAGCAAAACCAACATATTATACACATCTCTTTCTCTCCCATCATCACATCACCATCATCATATGTACTACATCTGTAGTTTATGCACACATTTTTTTCGTTCAAACTAACGATAAAAAAAATTTCTTCTTTCTTTTCTTTTATTTCGTTTTTTTTTTCTCTTCTACATATCCATTGTTTTCTTTTATTGCACTTCGTCAAACAAACGACGTTTGCATTGGATTTGTATTTTATTTCGTTCGTTCGTTCACTGTACACACTCACACTGAATATTTGAGGTTATTTTATTGGTTTTCTTGCATTTACTGAGCACATTCGTAATATTGGTGTTAACGTAAAAAAAGTGTTTACAACGTGTTTGCTAAAAATCAGCGCCGTTCGACATTGGACCAGTCACAAAACGAATAAACATCGTAACCAATCAATGGATACATTAACATCGGCTCAAGTACAAATGCCAACCGAACAGCTTAAATTAATGGACGACAAACATGATGATGGGCAGCACATTTTTGAAGTGGACGAAAATCAGGAAAACAATGGATTGAAAAGGCAACGTCTCAGCGATAATAATACCAATTCAATACAAATGTCAACAATTGTTCGTACCAAGGCATGTGCCAACGACCAAACGTATGAAAATCATTTGAAAACAATGCGATGTCTATCGACTGCAACCGATTCACCACCACCTACAAATGGCATAACGACGACGACAACGACCACGGCGACGTCGATTCAATTGAAGGGCGCACATAATACAAAACATTCAAATGATGTAATAAAATCGAATGGTTTTAACAATCATATTGAAAATAATAGTAACAATCGTGAAAATGGTTTATCGATACCATCCGACGGTTGTGATATTCTTGCGAATTTGTGCGACGGCCAAAACGAAGGTTATTTCGATGCAATGATAACAAGCGATTTAAGCGATGCTGACATGAAATTAGCCATGCAAAAAGAGAAATGCACCGAAAACCAGATTTTTTCAAATGGTAACGATCAAAACGGCAACGATCACGTTATCAACAAGGGTCATCGTCGCACACGTGCTCGTAGCTCCGATTCAATTCAGGCGGAATTCTATCAAGCACGAAAACAACAAATGCGACTTCAATCGCACATTGATTCGGATGTAAGTTTTCATAATAATTTTCCTTAATTAAAATATCTTGAACATTTTTCGAATTAGTTTTGTGTATGTGTTTTCGTTTCAAGCGAGTGTATTGTGTACTTCGATTGGGCAGATGCGATTTAAACGCACGTGTACACGCAATCAAGCAATAATAATTTTTCGGTCGAAGTTTTTCATCTAATTCTCGTAGCTATGCTGTTTGTCAATACGCATAAAATCAATCAATCGAATTTTAATGCGAACAGCAAAATTGATTGCTTGCATAATGTTTATTTTTAACGCTACTCAATTGAATTTATGCTTCAATTTATAAATATACACAGCGTAGAGTAGGTTGTTTGAAAGAAGAAAAAATTCTACCTATAATGCCTGAACATTATCGGTTCGGATTAGGTCAATGTAGATTGTTTTTTTTTTCTATGTTGCTTTTGCATGTTATGGTTTTAATTTAGAAACACAATCGAGAATTGATTTTGATTATATATATTTTTTCTTCTGTTGCTTTAATTAAAACTTTTTAGCTGTACACAAATGGTAGCGATGATAGTCAGTCACATTGTAACGCAACAGCGTACACGACGCACGTTAGTACGACACGTGGAAAAAGTTTGTCACCGCCAAAGGTTGGAGCGAGCAAAAAACAAACAATTCATTCGAATGCTTATTTGAATCGTGCAGCAAATCAACGTCACATTGTCAGGCCATTTAGTATTTTAAGGAAACAAAAACTCATTTCGAAAGCCAAACAACAAGCAGCCCGTTTATCACCATCAACACCAAGTCCAACTGCCATGGGTAAATCAATTGCAAAAATTGAATCACCGCCGCCAAAGCCAAACGACAACGAAAAACCAAATGAAACGGAGGACAAAGTCAATTCAAGCGAATCAGAATACAGCAGTTTAGAAGACGATGACGATGTTCAAGGTAATAATGAAGAAAAAAAATGAATCCGAACATTCTTTTGTTCGATATTGTGTAACGGTTTCGTTTGAACGAACCGAACAAAAAAACAAATAGAAAAAAAATTGATTGAATTCTCTATTTTTAAAATATATATAGAACCAACAGATAGTGATGAAAATGATTTGACTGATACTGAAGAGTATGTTGTGGACAATAAGGCCATTTATAATTCGTTCAACGATGGCACCGAAATGTATTCAATGTTGGCCGATAGTGTTCAAGGTCGTTCACCTAAAATGAGTCCATTGACACCATCGTTATTTGCACACGTTCCACCATACATAACATTTGCGTCGCACGAAGAAAAAGGATCAATGATGCCAGCTGCCATAAAAAAATCGCTCAAATGGAAACTGACCACAATAACACCAATAGTTATTAGGAAAATTCTTCTCAACTCAGGCTTTAGACTGTTAAAACGTGAGTTTGTACGAATTTTTCATCGAGTAATTGAAAAGCTCTAAATTTTGAAAAAAAAAAAAAAATCCATCCGCTTGAAACTAAACGGTATTTTTTTTTGCAGAAACAAATGATTGGATGGGAACATGGGGCAAACATATGAAGAGTCCATGCTTCCGTACATTAAAAACATACCAGAAAATCAACCACATACCAGGAACATTTCAAATTGGTCGAAAAGATAAAATATGGCGAAATTTACAATCGCAAATGTTACGCAATGGGCGAAAAGAGTTCAATTTTATGCCACTCACTTATATTTTACCTCAGGACATAAAAAAATTGAAACGCCTATGGCAAAAATTCGATCAACGCAATACAAAATGGATCATTAAACCGCCGGCATCAGCTCGTGGTACTGGTATCAAAGTAGTTAGCCGATGGAATCAAATCCCAAAGCGAAAACCAATTATCGTACAAAAGTACATTGATCGTCCGTTGCTAATAAACGGCAGCAAATTTGATTTAAGATTATACGTACTGGTGACATCATTGAATCCATTACGAGCCTACATGCATACAGATGGTTTAGCCCGTTTTGCCTCCGTGAAATACTCCAATGACATTGACACTCTTGGCGATAGATACATGCATTTGACCAACTACAGCATTAATAAATTGTCATCAAATTATGCTAAGAATGAGGATGCTGAATCGTGTAGCGGTCATAAATGGACATTGAAAACATTATGGAAATATTTTTCGGCGCAAGGAATAAACACCGACGGATTGTGGGCAGCGCTACGAAATTTAGTGTTACGTACAATTTTAAGTGGTGAACATGTGATTAATCAAATGTCCAAAGCAAATGTCGGCAGTCGATACAATACATTTGAATTGTTTGGCATTGATGTGATTTTAGATTCGGAATTAAAACCATGGTTGCTTGAAGTGAATATATCACCATCGTTGCATTCATCGTCACCACTAGATCTGCATGTCAAGGGACCACTTGTGACAGCTCTACTGAATACGGTACGATTCAATGTGCCGCCACGTTTCAATCATTCACAACAAGCCGAATTGATGGCTGAACTCGGACTGCAAGGACATAATTTATGCTATGATCGTCGTTTGCATGTAGTTAATTTATCGAAAACCGAACGCTTTAAACACAATCAATATACAAGCAAAGCAATTGCAAATCGTGAACAATATTTGGAACCAATTCTAGAGAATTTGACACCCGATGATATTCGTTGTTTGATTGCCAGTGAAGATGAGCTGGCTCGATGTGCACCACTAGAACGTGTATGTCCAACACCAAATTCACATAGATACATTAAATTCACCGAAAAACCACGATACTATAATCGTTTATTGGATGCATGGGAACATCGATATTCGAATAAACGCGATGAAGGCATTGAATTACTTCGAAAATTCTGCGAAAATCGTATACATTTAATCATACCGATTCCATGTTCAAAACTTAATGCCAAAAAGAATGTCGAATTTGTGGAAAATTCGGAAAATGAAATTGATGAAGTGTTTGATGCATCTATGAAGGCAACCGCACAAAAGCGCACCGATCATGTCGACACCGACACCATTGAATCAACCACGGCCAAAATTATTGACGAATGCAAAAGCCCGCTTCCAATGCCAGACGATCAAATCAATGAATCGGTGATTGATCAACATGCTGATATATTAGTCTCATCAAAAGCCTGATTTAGTTTACAATACTCAAACTATAAAATCGTGCATGAAAATCTATAAACAATACATTATCATTTCTTTGAGCCAAATTGAATGAAAATTAAAACGAAAAAAAACAAACAAACCAATTTACCATTCATTTAAGACATATAATTCATTGAGACTCTACGTATATGCATAAGTACATATTGTAAAAATAACAAAAAGCAAACAAACAAAATAAATGAAAAAGAAATAAAAAACAGACGTAGATAAGTTTTTTTTCTCGTTTTTACTGTCATTGGTCCTGAATTTTGCAAAACAAAGAGGATATAGATAGACGGAATTAAAATATTCAAAATTCGGAATATCACAAAAGAAAGAGTATCAATAATAAAATAAAA